GATTGAAGGAAAGAGCGACAGAGGAAAACGACGCATAACCTACCTAGAGAGATTGAGTAAATGGATGGTGGAGCAAGGTTTAGAGATTGAAGGAAAGAGCGACAGGGAAAAAACGACTTGATAACCTACCTAGAGAGCTTGAGTAAATGGATGGCGGAGCAAGGTTTGGGAGATTGAAGGAAAGAGCGACAGAGGAAAACGGCGCATAACCTACCTAGAGAGCTTGAGTAAATGGATGGCGGAGCAAGGTTTGGGAGATTGAAGGAAAGAGCGACAGAGGAAAACGACACATAACCTACCTAGAGAAATTGAGTAAATGGATGGGGGAACAAGGTTTAGGAGATTGATGGAAAGAGCGACAGAGGAAAACGACACATAACCTACCTAGAGAGATTGAGTAAATGGATGGCGGAACAAGGTTTAGGAGATTGAAGGAAAGAGCGACAGAGGAAAACGACACATAACCTACCTAGAGAGATTGAGTAAATGGATGACGGACCAAGGTTTAGGAGATTGAAGGAAAGAGCGACAGAGGAAAACGACGCATAACCTACCTAGAGAGCTTGAGTAAATGGATGGCGGAGCAAGGTTTGGGAGATTGAAGGAAAGAGCGACAGAGGAAAACGACGCATAACCTACCTAGAGAGATTGAGTAAATGGATGGCGGAGCAAGGTTTGGGAGATTGAAGGAAAGAGCGACAGTGGAAAACGACGCATAACCTACCTAGAGAGATTGAGGAAATGGATGGCGGAGCAAGGTTTGGGAGATTGAAGGAAAGAGCGACAGAGGAAACGACGCATAACCTACCTAGAGAGCTTGAGTAAAATGGATGGCGGAGCAAGGTTTGGGAGATTGAAGGAAAGAGCGACAGAGAAAACGACACATAACCTACCTAGAGAGATTGAGTAAATGGCGGAGCAAGGTTTAGGAGATTGAAGGAAAGAGCGACAGAAGAAAACGACGCATAACCTACCTAGAGAGCTTGAGTAAATGGATGGCGGAGCAAGGTTTGGGAGATTGAAGGAAAGAGCGACAGAAGAAAAACGACGCATAACCTACCTAGAGAGATTGAGTAAATGGATGGCGGAGCAGGTTTGGGGTTTGGGAGACCTTGAAAATTGAGTAAATGGATGGCGGAGCAAGGTTTAGGAGACAGAGGAAAACGAAAACGACACATAACCTACCTAGAGAATTGAGTAAAATGGATGGCGGAACAAGGTTTAGGAGATTGAAGGAAAGAGCGACAGAAGAAAACGACACATAACCCTACCTAGAGAGCTTGAGTAAATGGATGGCGGAGCAAGGTTTAGGAGATTGAAGGAAAGAGCGACAGAAGAAAACGACGAACCTACCTAGAGAGAGAGCTTGAGTAAAATGGATGACGGGCAAGGTTTAGAGATTGAGAAAAAATGATGAAAACGACGACCAAGAGCTTTAAATGGATGGCGGAGGGGGAGATTGAAGGAAAAGAGCGACAGAGGAAAACGACGCATAACCTACCTAGAGAGCTTGAGTAAATGGATGGCGGAGCAAGGTTTTAGGAGATTGAAGCTGAGAAAGAGCGACAGAAGAAAACGACGCATAACCTACCTAGAGAGCTTGAATAAATGGATGGCGGAGCAAGGTTTAGAGATTGAAGGAAAGAGCGACAGAAGAAAACGACGCAACCTACCTAGAGATTGAGTAAATGGATGGCGGAGCAAGGTTTAGGAGATTGAAGGAAAGAGCGACAGATGAAAACGACGCATAACCTACCTAGAGAGCTTGAGTAAATGGATGGCGGAGCAAGGTTTGGGAGATTGAAGGAAAGAGCGACAGATGAAAAACGACGCATAACCTACCCAGAGAGATTGAGTAAATGGATGGCGGAGCAAGGTTTAAAGAGCGACGGGGAGATTGAAGGAAAGAGCGACAGAGGAAAAACGACGCATAACCTACCTAGAGAGATTGAGTAAATGGATGGCGGAGCAAGGTTTAGGAGATTGAAGGAAAGAGCGACAGAGGAAAACGACACATAACCTACCTAGAGAGATTGAGTAAATGGATGGCGGATCAAGGTTTAGGAGATTGAAGGAAAGAGCGACAGATGAAAACGACACATAACCTACTGAGTAGAGAGCTTGAGTAAATGGATAGCGGAAACAAGGTTTAGGAGATTGAAGGAAAGAGCGACAAAGGAAAAAACGACGCATAACCTACCTAGAGAGATTGAGTAAATGGATGGCGGATTAAAGGTTTAGAGATTGAAGGAAAGTTTAGGAGACAGAGGAAAAACGACGCATAACCTACCTAGAGAGCTTGAGTAAATGGATGGCGGAGCAAGGTTTAGAGATTGAAGGAAAGAGCGACGGATGAAAAACGACACATAACCTACCTAGAGAGATTTGAGTAAATGGATGGCGGAGCAAGGTTTAGAGATTGAAGGAAAGAGCGACAGAGGAAAAACGACGCATAACCTACCTAGAGAGCTTGAGTAAATGGATGGCGGAGCAAGGTTTAGGAGATTGAAGGAAAGAGCGACGGAGGAAAACGACGCATAACCTACCTAGGGAGCTTGAGTAAATGGATGGCGGATTAAGGTTTAGGAGATTGAAGGAAAGAGCTACAGAGGAAAACGACGCATAACCTACCTAGAGAGATTGAGTAAATGGATGGCGGAGCAAGGTTTGGGGGAGATTGAAGGAAAGAGCGACAGAAGAAAACGACGCATAACCTACCTAGAGAGCTTGAGTAAATGGATGACGGAGCAAGGTTTAGAGATTGAAGGAAAGAGCGACAGAAGAAAACGACGCATAACCTACCTAGAGAGATGGAGTAAATGGATGACGGAGCAAGGTTTGGGAGATTGAAGGAAAGAGCTACAGGGAAAACGACGCATAACCTACCTAGAGAGCTTGAGTAAATGGATGACGGAGCAAGTTTTAGGAGATTGAAGGAAAGAGCGACAGAGGAAAACGACACATAACCTACCTAGAGAGCTTGAGTAAATGGATGGCGGATTAAGGTTTAGGAGATTGAAGTAAAGAGCGACAGATGAAAACGACGCATAACCTACCTAGAGAGATTGAGTAAATGGATGGCGTTGCAAGGTTTAGGAGATTGAAGGAAAGAGCGACAGAGGAAAACGACGCATAACCTACCTAGAGAGCTTGAGTAAATGGATGGCGGAGCATGGTTTTGAAGAGATAACAATAACACACAATTTATTAAGAACTACAAATTGTGGAGAGCCATGATCGCCTACGCACTAAAGGGATACGTCACATCGAAGTTTTCCAAGTTATTTTAAAAGAATTTCCATAAAGTTTTCGAGTCCCTGTGTATATTCAACTTTCTCAAAATATTGTCCGTGTTTTTCTTTTCTTTGTGCTATATCAGTATTTTTTTTCGCACATTGTCGTTTTTATTTTTAAGTATCGTCTTCACATTTTATGCTTTCACCAGATCCCAAATACACACAAAACCCCCCAAAACAAAACAAAACAAAATCCTTAATAAAATGCTTCCGTCGGGCTTAAACCAAACTTGCGTAAATGAAAGCTTGATGCTCAAATCCATCCATCCTGTCTCTTTCAAAATAATTTATCTTCTCCATGATAAAGCCTTCATCAAGCATCCAATCAGTAAGTAAAGACAGAAAAGAATGTAGATAAATATATTAAGAAACTCATTTTCCTGCAGCACATCTTATATATGTAACTCCTTGCAAGGAGGTTGCCCTCCAATTTCATCTTTTAAGGCTTTAAGTGACAACCCCCCCACCCCCAAAAAATCAACAAAAAAAAAAACCCAAAAAAAAAAAAAGAAAGAAAAAACAAAAATCACCCCGCCCCCAAAAAACAGAGTCGTTTTTCAAGTTATTTTAAAATCTCTTCAATTAAAGCATTTCTCTATTAATTTTTTATTGTAGCATACCTACAGACGATAATGGGTATGTCCCCATTCACATAAATACAGTAGTAAATACTGTATGTTGATTTGCAGTTAGAGATTTGTCGCCAGCTGTGCTTGTCAAACTCTCTGCCTTCGGGCAGAGAGGATCCACAGACGAGGATATATCGAAGAGAAGAGTCTCGTCTCGGGAAAACAACTACACTGCCCCGTTTTATATGGGGTCTACGGGCTCGGATATCCCACATTAAATTCGGCCTTGATCCACATCTGAGCGCGTGGGGCAGTTGGTAGATACCGTTTGCAGGTCTGCAGTTGAAAATTGTGGAATTCACTTGACTCACTTCTAACAGCTGACTACTTCTACGCGCCGCTGGCGAATCTTATATGTGCTGTTCTTGTCCTAAGTATTATCATTCATTACCAACATTCGTGTGAATATTCTATTCAGTAACCTTCCCTAGGTTACAACATTTTTATTAAGAGTATTATTCCATATTATTGTTCTTATATCCAAAGTTAAGCAACGTCGCGCCTGGTCAGTACCTATATAGATGGACACATGGGAATACTAGATGTTGTAAACTTGGATGTGCGTGTAGAGTAATGGGTAATGACTCGAAATTGTTAATTGGAGAGCCGAGTTCCAATTCCGTTGTGTTTGTTATATTCATTTACTCGCAAAGACTCTTGGGAAATATATGAAAACGCCTCTTCCTCCAGCTATGAGCTAATTAGTAAAACTTGCATCACTAAAACCATTATCAATGAAAAAAAGAAAGAAAATACTTAAAAGAAATTACTTTAAATAACCTTGAAAGGGTTGAAAAGCCGTAGAAAACGAATCAGTTAAGCAATACACATCATGGCAACCAGTCTGGTAAAAGGTAAGCCAGGTATATGTGCGTGATATAGTGAAAGGTGTTGATACAAAGCCCCGCGTAACCTTGCAAGTGGGGTCCAGTTAGAAATAATTTGATAATTTAATTTAAACAATAATTTATTACTATTACCGTTACGAAGACGCTTATGGACATACAGAAGCCTAGAAAGAGATACGAAGAACCAGATTCACTATAAAACAATCGATAAATGATCCTTACTCTCCTTATCCGCAACCAAGCTGTTGCATCAACAGATAGATAGATAGATAGAAACAGACGGCGATAGATAGATAGAAAGCGAGAGAGAGAGAGAGAGAGAGAGAAAGGGACAGAGATTTAGAATCGATTGATATCACTCTTATCTATATTGGCATTATATAAATCTCAACCGACAATAGAACTGGCTAGTTGGTTCATTCATGTGTTCATAAAGAAACAGCTAACATTGTATGCTTATTTTTTAAAGTACTCTTATTCTTTCTTTCAAAATCTTTTCTCTTTTTTTCTTGCTCTCCCTATCTGCAACTAAGCTGTCGCATCTATCTATCTATCTATCTATCTATCTATCTATCTTATCTATATATATATCTATATATATATATATCTCTATATATATCTATATCTATATATATATATATATATATATATATATATATATATATATATATATATATATATATATATATATAGAGAGAGAGAGAGAGAGAGAGAGAGAGAAGAGAGAGTCAACTGGATATCATTTTTATCTATATCGGCATTTTGGGCGTAATCCCTAACGGTATAGTAGAGGCTTCTTTAACAAATACAAATTTAATATGGCAAAAGACCGTATTTGAGAAAGCTCCCAAAGCCTGTCTTCACTACTGGAAAGAGCGATAACAGCTAGTGGACTTGAGAAACCTATTTTCCCGGAAAACCGTTTTAAGAGAAAGATTTTGTAAATTTCAACCGAGGTTGCTCAGTAAATGAATATCCAATGTTCCCTCATTAGAAAACGGCTAATATTACTAATTACTGATATTAGCGTTACGAAGACGCCTATGGACATAAAGAAGCACAGAAGGGGATATGAAAAACCAGCTTTTTTCTATAAAACAATAAGTAAAAGATTCTTACTTCCCCTATGTGCAACTAAGCTGTCGCATGGACAGACAGACAGACAGATAGATAAATAGATAGATAGATGAGATAGATATAAATAGATATATATATATATATATATATATATATATATATATATATGAACAGATTGCGATAGATAGATAGATAGATAGAAAGAAAGAAAGAAACAGAGAGATAGATAGATAGAAACAGACTTATATATATATATATATATATATATATATATATATATATATGAACAGATTGCGATAGATAGATAGATAGAAAGAAAGAAAGAAACAGAGAGATAGATAGATTGATAGATAGATAGAAACAGACTGAGATATATATATATATATATATATGAACAGATTGCGATAGATAGATAGAAAGAAAGAAAGAAACAGAGAAATAGATAGATTGATAGATAGATAGAGACAGATTGAGAGAAAGAGACATAAACAGACTGCGAGAGATAGATAGATAGATAGATAGATAGATAGATAGATAGATAGATAGAATGCGAATGAGAGTGTGTGTGTGTGTGTGTGTGTGTGTGTGTGAGAGAGAGAGAGAGAGTGAAAGGAGGAAAGAGAATCGAGGGATATCACTCTTATCTATATCATCATTAACGGGATAGTAGAGAGTTCTTTAACAAATACAAATTTAATATGACACAAAACGGTATTTATGAAAACTCCCAAAAGGTGTCTTCACTACTGGAAAGAGCGATAACAGTTACGTTGTGCCGACTCTCTCACTGCTCTATCGCAACTTCCATAGAAAGTGCTCGGACGAACTACATTCCTTGGTTCTGCCAGGTCTAAACTTGACGGCTAGGACCCACCATGCTGCTTACATAGTAGCAAACCATTCACATTCCCTTCGTATTCCATCGACGAGAAGTAATTCCATTCAAACAGATTCTTCCCGCGAACCACTGTCCTATGGAACAGACTCCCGAGAGGATGTTTCCCTGATCGCTACAATCTTAAACCGTTCAAATCTAGAGTTAATCGTTATCTTTCCCCTCCTATCCATATAAACTATCCCTTAATGTAACCTCGAGAGGTGCCCACACCTTGTAGAGGGTGAGCCTTATTGTAAAAAAAAAATAATACTAACCTTGAGAAACCTATTTTCCTGAAAAATTGTTTCAATGGAAAATATTATAAATTACAGCCAAATGGAGCATTGGTTTCTCGATCAATGTATGTTGAATGTTTCCTTATAAGGAAACAGCTATAATTACCATTTACCATATCAAGATTGTGAAGAAAAAAGGCTATGTTGAGGACTGGATTTGGAATCTTAAGACATATGTGTTCATATTTAGTATGCATTATGGGCTTAAATTTTTAAATCTCTTGTAGGTAAAGAACTTTTAAAGCTTTTTGACCAATCCTCGTATTTTCTTAACTAATTATAATTCTACTTGTCGTTGATCCCATGTGTTGCATGAAAAAGTTAACTCTGTTTCTACAAAGTTTTACTCGTTACATTACAAAGCTTTGTTCAGGTGTACAATCATCATGGTAAAACTCTAACAGTTCAGTACCCTATTCTTTGTTTTTAATTAAATTTTCCTGTTGCTTAATACTTTACTCAAGTTGGCAAACTAAAAAGAATGTTAGCATATATATCAAGAAGCTCGTTTTCAGCAGGTGACTCTTTGCAAAGGCGGGTGCACCCCAATTCCATGCCTACTGAGTAAATCCGTGTAGATTTAAATTGTCGGGGTGGCTTACATTGCTGGAAACAAGCCAAGCCAGTTAGTATATTATTAATATAGTATTTACCTTCTGTTTTCCATCTATTTTTGTAGAAAAGGAATCCATATTCGTAAATGATTGTAAAACGGACAAAGACTGTAGGATGGATAGACTGGAACATAATAACAACAAATGTAACAGAAAAAGTTGCAGGATCTTTTTGTTGATATAAATTATAAAGTAAACGAAATGGAACTTTAATTGTAACAACCATTTATTTTTTTTTGTGTATACTTACTATGGTTTGGTCTTTATATTCAAATAAGGAATTCCCTTCCAAAAGTTAAGTAAAGTATAAAGAAACACGAACATTTAGTTAGAAACAAAAAAAGTGTACTGAACTGTTATGCAATATCAGACCTCGTATATGGTATTGAATGCTAGACAATCACCTCACAGATGAAGAAGAGACTTGAAGCAAACAGAAATGAGGTTCTACAGAAGGATGCTGAGAATACCATGGACCGAACATGTGAGCAACTACGAAGACTTAGAGAAAACGAAAAAAAGAGTGGACGCTTATACTTAACATAAGAAACACAGTTGAAAATTCTATGACATATAATGAGGAAACAGGGCCCCGTTATGGCAGCGAGTGCTGGACAATCCACTGACAGATAAAGAAGAGACTTGAAGCTAACAGAAATGAGGTTCTACAGAAATATGCTGAGAATACCATGGACCAAACATGTGAGCAACGACGAAGTTTTAGAGAAAGCTTGATACTTACGGGACAGATTGAGGGTAAGAGTGACAGACACGAAATAGAAGAAGAAAAAGAAGAATTCAGTGTCGCATCCCAGTTCAAGAGCGGAAGTAGTAAAAATTATTAAATTATTTCTAAATTATTTAGAATTAAAAGTATTCAAATAAATAAATTTAACACATATTTACCATTTTAGTTGTTGTTGCTGTTGAAAGTTCCCAATTGATGTGGTTTGTGTTATTTGCCACATTTCTTTGTGATTCTGTAGCGCCAGTCGTCGAGGTTTAAAGAAGATAAACTCGCTAAGAGATACAGGCTACATTGGCTTAATGACATTTATAAGCATTGATTCAAGAAAGCGGTTGTATACAGCAGTCAGTTTAAATCATTTCTGAACAAGTTTGGCGTCATCCATGACATCGATATGGAAGTCTCAATTTGACGAGACTATTTAAGAACATGACTCCTATTTTTTTAGGTTAACATTTTGGTTTTGTAGCAATTTGCTTTCTTAGCTCCATTCTCGTTGTCCCTTTCGCCTCACCATCAATGAATAATCGCTATCGTCTGAGCACTTGGAAACCAATCGAGGAATAATTTGAAGGTTTTCATATAAATTTCCAATAGTGTTTCTTCTGTCAGAACTAATAAGAACATCGGACTGTTTTGTCTTATTCTAATCACACCAGCATCTGGCCTGCCACTATGGGACCTGTCACTAAGATCAGGTTTTAATTACTTTCTCGGATTTGCCAGTCACTCTATATTCAAATCTCCTTACTATGCTTACATTAAAGAGTATTTCTTTCATAAACTTTCCTTAACTTCCTTGTTCTCAGTGCTTTCTCCTTCCAAAAAGTAGAAATTAGCTCTTTTCTTTCCACGCATGTGCAGATGACAACCAGTTTGAAAGAAGATTAGGAGTAACAAAAGAGAAGATAATTCCCCCAAATCTTTCCTCAGCTTCTAGAAAATGAATGATCTATTATCGTACAGCTCTTTGCTTTCTATGTTTGTCAAGAGGGCAGCCATTTTATAAAAGGATTATGGGTAAACAAAAACAAGCAAACAAACAAACAAACAAAAATATGAGAAAGTAGCGCCATAAATTTTTCACCCTCGGATTTTAGAAAAGTCATAGTTTATAGCAAAAGAAAAAAATAGAAAGATAGAAAAAAAAGAAAGAGGAAAAGATAAAAAAGAAACAAGGGAAAAGTGAAGAAAAAAGAAAAGAAAAAAAAACTTGGAATTCTGAATAATACTTTTAAAATTACATTAAAACAGGCATTACTTTTTGACTGACCCGCGTAGAATAACGCTAACAACAACAGCAAAAACAACAACAACAACAACAATAATAATAATAATAATAATAAGAAGAAGAATGATAAACTGTATAATTGAAGAAATAACTCCACTCTTACGTGATAGGATAAAAAAAAATGAAACAGGTGTGGCAGATTGTATACAGATAGAGTTTCACATTTGTGTCGTAATATATATATATATATATATATATATATATATATATATATATGAATTACACGTATCTATTAAAAACTAACTTTTACACTGTATCCATTTATGGGAAGTCATTATCATTCCAAGGATTGTACGGACAATTTAACTAATTCTTTGTGAGGGTTTTGTAGTTAGTTCCACACTTGGGCCCATTTTATGACTTTTTCAAGTGTAAAATTCGCAAGAAAAGCTGGACAAAACCAAAAACAACAACCAGCAGCTCTGATCATTTTTCGGAATGCCAGTCACATCGAGGACACCATTCTTAGAATTTGTAAAAACAAAGATGAATGATATGTTCACCCTGATAAGCAAAGACAATCACAATACATTGTACTTGAACCCACATTTACTATGCTATCAAATTCATGAACCAACGCGTTAATGCACTAAGTCCCACGGATTAATTGTGAGTAATTTTAAGTTCAGTCCATAGGCCGTGTAGTAAAGTCTCTACTCTAATCACTCTAATCCTCATTCTAGAAATGCAGGCAGAAATCATGTGTATTTGTATATAAAAAAAACCCGGCTTGTCGGCATGTGATTTACAGTACGCCAACTTGCAACTCAGCAGAGTGCTAAGTGCCCCTAAACAAAGAGAACACTTCCGAGGTGGATACTAAGAGACACCTTTTATGTCTCGTACAAACCGAATTTATGTCTAGCTTTTAGGCTCTAGTGTAAACCGTACTTATGACTACATGTTTTTTTTTACTCTACTGTAAACCAAACCTATATCAAACTCATTTGAATCAGTTGTAAAATGAAACCATAGCCATCTTTTTGTCTCTAGTATAAACAGGACATGTCTACCTTATTGACTCTAGGGTAAACAGGATCTATATCTAGCTTGTTCACTCTAGTGTAACCAGGAATTATTTGTACCTTTTTTGACTATAGTGTAAACTGGTCCTATTTCTACGCTTTTGAATATACTAGAAACAGGACTTATATCTTTTTTTACCTTTTTTAACTATAGTCCAAAACGGACATATTTCTACCTTTTTGACATAAACATGTTTTAGTCTGCATTTTGACTATAGTGCAAAGCGGGCCTATTTCTACCTTTTTGACACAAACATGTTTTAGTCTGCATTTTGACTATAGTGCAAAGCGGGCCTATTTTTACCTTTTTGACTCTAGTCAACACAGGACTTCTGTTGACCATTTTGATTCTAGTATAAACAAGACTTATGCCTACCTTTTTGACTCTGGTGTAAACCTGACCTCCGTCTGCCTATTTATTAATTCATTGTGATTTTTTCCCCGACAAGTCTTATATTCAACATTGGATAGTCCAACAGGAGTTTACGTGTCATTAAATTAACCAACCTCACCTTACCCACACAAAGTTTCCTATTTTGCATTTATTTATTTGATTGCATAAAAGTGTTTATGCATTGTAAAGCAAAACCTTGTTTATTTGTTTTAAAAGTTAAAATGCAATTTCATTTCTTGCCGAAAACCTTTTTTCTTCAATAGAGAAACGGAATCCAGCTTTGTACTTTTTTCTATTTTTCACGACATTCTGCAAATAATGTTTCAAAACGCAGACACTAGTAATTGTAGCAGGGACACTTTTTTTTTTATTTGAAATAAACGTCTGGAAATACATTTTATGCAAGATTTACCAAAGTGAAATGATTTAGAAGTTATCAGTGGGATCGGGGAGAGCGTTGCGGTTTCAAATCTCCCCTCAGTTGTTAATGAAAAACAAATGAAAATATATTTAATCACCTTAACATAGTCTGGCGCAAGGTCATTTTGAAGGTAAAAAGATTGTGTTTTGAGATGATCTTTCAATTTGCATATAATGTAACTCCCCTCTCTCTCTCTCTCTCTCTCTATATATATATATATATATATATATATATATATAAATTATATAAATTACTGCAAATCGCGGCGTACAAGTCGACTTGGTGCACAACTCGAGCTCAAGATTTTTAGCTCAAAATTATGAGTTAGGCCTATACCTACCGTATAGGTCGGCCACCAAACATAGGGAAGGCTATCAGTGGCCCCAAACTTGGGCCTATCGATAAATGAAGTTGGCTAGAGTATATGGTAACTTGTGACAAAACTACATATGCTAGCACTACATATGGTTACACCACTATTAAGAAACATCGTTAAATATTTGAGCTTAGCAACTTTAACAAAATATTTTCAGAAGTGGGTACAAACGAAAAGAATTGAAATTGAAAACTTTATCCATTTCATCGAAACAGCCGTTAACACTCTCTCTTCCCTTCTTTTTTTTTGCATTCATATTTTTCACTGAAACCATCTATCTATCTATCTATCTATCTATCTATCTATCTATCACTGTGTTTATATCTATCTATCTATCTATCTATGTATGTGAGCGCACGTATTTGTGACAAAGAAGAGGAAGAGAGTCTATTCATATCTATGTATGTATATATCTGTCTATCTAAGTCTATTCATATCTATCTATTTCAGTATATTCATATCTATCTATCTATCTATCTATCTATCTATCTATCTATCTATCTATCTATCTATCTATCTATCTATCTCAGTCTATTCATATCTATGTATGTATCAGTCTGTCAGGGCGTAACAGTCGTGCGAACTAACGAAGAGAGAGACAATTATAATTAATTAACTACAGTCTTACTATTTAAAATAAAAAAAATGACTGTTTAAAAAACATTCAATTTCGGCATTAAATTAACCAATGGGTTGACCAGCCGTAAAAGAAACAAACCAAGATCAACCATTGATTATATTTGCGGAATGTTGTTTCCTCCATCAGATTAATTATAATAGGACACATATTAAGTGCAGAAAGATTCCCACGTTAGGGCGAATATAAAGTTTGTTATATTTTCGTAATATAAGTGATGCTAACGAAATGTTCATGGATGTTGGATGGACTGATCAATCCTTTCGTGCGTCAAGTTACTCAGCTTTATCCGTGTCTTGCCGAATATTTGACGCGGGTCTGGAAATCCCTGTACAAGGAAATAAAGATCCACCATTTTTTTTTTATGAAGAAGTTACTTCGCGCCTTAAGTTCCACAACTTTTGAATAGAATCTTGCTGTTTGTCTGAAAATAGGGGATCAGCCTGATCTTTCACTGAATTCTCGGCTTTTAAAAGGCTAAAACATTCATCACGTTTTTATATTCTGCTCGTAATTATATTGCATTGAGGGGGGAGAGAGAGTGAGAGAGAGAGAAAGAAAGAAAGAGAGAGAGAGAGAAAGAGAGAGAGAGAGAGAGAGAGAGAGAGAGAGAGAGAGAGAGAGATGACACTGTCCTTTCGCTGGTTCCTGAAGCTTTCATAACATTTACAAGACAGCAAAGTTCATCGTGACATGAACGGTTTTGTTCTTATGTTCACTGACTGTATGGGCGGACATTCTCTCTAATTCTTTCTCCAGAAATGCCAACCTTAGAGTTTCCTTCCATTTTCCGAATGTCTTAACCCTTTCAATGCCTATGAATTATTCAAATGCTCGCTAAATTTCTTTCGTATTTAATGACACAAGTCATGCAATGCACGCGTATATTTACATAAACAAGTTGATGAACATGTAAGTATATGCACATACACACACAGACAAAGCAGCTTACGGCCACATCTCATTAAAACACCAGTCCCACGTACAAACACCAAAGTTAAGCAACGTCGAGCCTGGTCAATACCGAGATGGGTGACCGGGAATACCACGTGTTGTAAACTTGGATGTGCGGGTGGTGTAATGGATAATGACTCGAAGCCGAGTTCCATTTCCAGTTGGGTTCGTTATATTCATTTACACGCAAATACGCTTGGAAAAGGTATGAATCGACTGCTTCTTTCCTCCAGCTATGGGTTAATTAATAAAACTTGTATCAATAAAGTCATTATTATCTAAAAATAATTTAACCTCAAAAAAATTAGATTTCGTTCTTAAATAACCCATAGAGGTGTTGATATGCCGCTAAATAAAAACAGTCAACCAACAACCCACAAACAAAGAAATCTCTCTCTCTCTCTCTCTCTCTCTCTCGATGGCTAACAATCCAGAAACGAAGAAATCACATATTCACGCCGTTTTGGCCGTGGTACGCCCCGGCCTTCATCAGGTGATTGGAATTTCGAACTGAACTCTTCATTTCGTCCACCGGGGTAAGTTATTCTAGTTCCATGTGCCATACCTCTTCCGGGTGTTGTTGTGAATATGGCAACAAAGATGAGGACAACAGTCCGAACAATATAAATAGTGTAAATTATTACAATACCTCATCTCAGAAATATAGACATATGTCCAGCCTTTATAATGAATATGCAACCATAATTCATTCGTATATCCTAAAAAGGGAAAATCCTCCGGTATGCGTGAAGTGCCAAAAGCCATTCACCATAAAACGCATGCTGACAAACTGCAGCAATTTTAATTCAATCTGCTTAAAATTCTACTAAACAACAAAAAAGAACTTTTTCAAAATACTGATTCACTTTACTGTTATATAAGAATAAAGTGTTGAAGCCGACACTTGAATTTGAACATAGATCGCCAGTGAGCAAACATAGGCGACCCCATTATTGAATGAAGCGCATCACGTGACCATAGAGGAACCACATAAATAGAAACTAGCGTGAGGTCTAATTGATCACTTTCTATTCTATCCTCTATTACTATACGGATCACTATTTCTATTCTATCCTCTATTACTATACGGATCACTATTTCTATTCTATCCTCTATTACTATACGAATCTCTAGTTCTATTCTATCCTCTATTACTATACGGATCTCTATTTCTATTCTATCCTCTATTACTATACGGATCACTATTTCTATTCTATCCTCTATTACTATACGGATCTCTATTTCTATTCTATCCTCTATTACTATACGGATCTCTATTTCTATTCTATCCTCTATTACTATACGGATCACTATTTCTATTCTATCCTCTATTACTATACGGATCACTATTTCTATTCTATCCTCTATTACTATACGGATCACTATTTCTATTCTATCCTCTATTACTATACGGATCTCTATTTCTATTCTATCCTCTATTACTATACGGATCTCTATTTCTATTCTATCCTCTATTACTATACGGATCTCTATTTCTATTCTATCCTCTATTACTATACGGATCACTATTTCTATTCTATCCTCTATTACTATACGGATCACTATTTCTATTCTATCTTCTATTACTATACGGATCTCTATTTTATTCTATCCTCTATTACTATACGGATCTCTATTTCTATTCTATCCTCTATTACTATACGGATCACTATTTCTATTCTATCCTCTATTACTATACGGATCACTATTTCTATTCTATCCTCTATTACTATACGGATCACTATTTCTATTCTATCTTCTATTACTATACGGATCTCTATTTCTATTCTATCCTCTATTACTATACGGATCACTATTTCTATTCTATCCTCTATTACTATACGGATCTCTATTTCTATTCTATCCTCTATTACTATACGGATCTCTATTTCTATTCTATCCTCTATTACTATACGGATCTCTATTTCTATTCTATCCTCTATTACTATACGGATCTCTATTTCTATTCTATCCTCTATTACTATACGGATCTCTATTTCTATTCTATCCTCTATTACTATACGGATCACTCTTTCTATTCTATCCTCTATTACTATATGGATCACTCTTTCTAGTCTATCTTCTATTACTACACGGATCTCTATTTCTATTCTATCCTCTATTACTATACGGATCTCTATTTCTATTCTATCCTCTATTACTATATGGATCACTCTTTCTAGTCTATCTTCTATTACTACACGGATCGTTATTGTCTATACTATTCATTATACTATTTCTCTATACTGATTACTATCCGGTGTATTACCGAGCAAGTACTATTAGTGCGAGTGATATTCGAAGGCGTCTGACACCAGTGTTGTTCAACGGCGTTACTGTAGTTTTATCTGCGATTACAAAGTCTCTACTACAACGAGCATTACGAAAGTGATAACGAGTATTTGTTGACATCACAAAAGAGACCACGAGTGTTCGTTGACATCACAAAATTTACATTCATTTACATCCAGTTTATAAAAAAAAAAAATTAAACTGATTTCAAAAATATAATTAAAAAATATGTAGCCATAAAAACCGTCTTACTAATTAGAATAAAAAAAAAAATTGATTGTTTAAAAAACATTCAATTTCGGCATCAAATGAAGCAATGGGTTAACAAGCAAAAAAAAACAAAACAAAAAACAACAAAAAAAAACAACAACAATGATCAACCATTGAAATTTTCCAAGCGTAGCTTAGATGGAGCACAAGGGCGAAAGTATAGGGCACCCAGTGAGGATCGAACTCACTACTCAGTTGTAATTGTCCTAGCGAGACAAGCTTGCTAACCATTACATCACGGAGAGGTGTCCGCAATAGTGATTTTCCAAGCGTAGCTTAGATGTGGCACAAGGCCGAAAGTATGGGGCACCTAGTGAGGATCGAACTCACTACTCAGTCGTAATTGTTCTAGCGAGACAAAATTGCCAACCATTACACCACGTCGAGGTGCTCTAGTGATTTTCCAATCGTAGCTTAGATAGGGCATAAGGCCGAAAGTATGGGGCACCCAGTGAGGATCGAAATCACTACTCAGTCGTAATTGTTCTAGCGAGACAAAATTGCCAACCATTACACCACGTCGAGGTGCTCTAGTGATTTTCCAAGCATAGCTTAGATCGGGCATAAGGCCGAAAGTATGGGGCACCCAGTGAG